TATAATACAAGACTCACGGACATGCTTGACACCAACGTATAGATACTCGTCACCATGCCTATACGTCGTACTCTACAATTAACATGTAGCAATTAAGACACAACTCCTAATCCCTCAAGCTAAGGTTAGACCAAACACTTACCTCGCTTTGCAACCAATTCAAAATTCCAACAACCCTTTGCCTTGCGAATTCGTTTGAAGCTTCAAATCTGGTCATAATAATTCAATATACTCAATATAAAGTGTACGAATTAATTCCATATGGAAATACTAATTTTCCAACAAAATTCGAAATTTAACTCAAAATCGCTCGTGGGGCCCACGTATCGAATTCCGACGAAACTTACAAAATCCGATAACCCATTCAACCACGAGTTCACCCATACAAATTTTATTAAATTCCGATAACAACTCAACCTCCAAATCTAAAATTTTCATTTTTGGAAGATTTTGCAAAAATCTTGATTTCTTCCATTTAAATCCGAATTAAACGATGAAAATAACCATGGATTTATGTAATATAAACACTTTCGAGTATAGGACACTTACTTGAGTTGAAATTGTGAAGAACACCTCAAAAATCGCCCAAAATCCGAGTTTGAAACTCAAAAAAATGAAAAAAAAAACGTGTTGTTCGTCCTTTAACTGCCCAGAATTTTCGGGGGTAGTGTTCATTGGTACTGTTCATTGGTACTATTCATGGGGTACTATTTCTGCAAATTTTCTGCTATTTTCCCAAGTCCGAAATCACTCCGAGACACCTCCGAAACACTCCCGAGCCCTCGGGGCTCCTAACCAAACACATGCACTAACTCAACAACATCTACAAACTTAACCGTGCGATCAAATCGCCAAACTAACATCATATACCACGAATTAAGCTTTAAAATCCAAGAATTCTTTCAAATTTCATAAAACATCAAATTTACCATTTTGAGTCCGAAACAAGTCAAACGACGTCCGTTTTCAACCAAACTTTACAGAAAGTGCTTAAACCATATATAAGACCTGTACTAGACACCGTAACCAAAATACAGGCCCGATACCATCACTTTCTAATCAAATTTCATTTCCATTTTCCTTAAATATTTTCAGAAAACAATTTTACTCAAAAATTCATTTCTCGGGCCTGAGACCTCGGAATTCGATTCCGGGCATACACCCAAGTTCCATATTTTTC